AATCTTTTTAAATATTATTTTTAAATTTACAAAAATCAAGTGGTTACCAATTGGCACAATTTTTGAGATTTAAAATCTCCATGTGGTTCCTTCGCTGTTTTCTGCCTCCGCAGCACTCAGCCACACGGGAATTTTACGATTGAATGAAAGCAATTAAAAAAGGAAAAAGATTTTTTCTTTTTATATTGATTACATAATAAGTGGTAAATTTTTTTTATTTTTTATTTTATTTTATTTATATGTTATATGATTTAAATTTAAAATTTTTTATTTTAAATAAAAAAAATTATCACTAAATTATTTAAATTATTAATAAAAAAATAATTTTTAATTTCATATCCTATGAAGTAAAATATATATGTCGATTAAGGTTCCTTTTATTAATTACTAACGTCCCTCGATCGAAAACTTCAAAGTCTTACAGTGAAAAAGGAATGTCGGGTTCAATAGAAGGTGAGCAGTGATTAATATGTGGTAATGATGTAATAAAATTGTGCATGTGGCCTTGTTTGGCAAGCAAGAAAAGCATCAGATGACACTCTGGGTGGTCCCGTTTTCCTAAAACAGACACTCCCAACTTTACCTAAGCAAGACACGATTAGAAACAAGACACCCCCAGTTTTTTAGGTCTTTGCTTCACGGTACCACTCTTTTTGGGAAACAGGAAAACCACTGCGGTCACCATAAACCCAGGTAATTAAATCCGTCCCACTGGGATTTAAATACCCATCTAATTTCTCCTCTTCCTCTCGTACAGTCCCCCTTTTCATCAAAAGGTAGTAACAATGAAGATGAGCTGCAATGGCTGTCGGATCCTCCGCAAGGGATGCAGTGACAATTGCATCATAAGACCCTGTCTTCTCTGGATCAAATCTCCTGAGTCCCAAGCCAATGCCACCCTGTTTCTCGCCAAGTTCTACGGCCGCGCTGGCCTTACCAACCTGATTGAAGCCGGCGCTCCACATCTCCGCCCTGGTAATTAAGAATCATTTTCATTTAACAAATAAGAGAGACAGTAGTTGAACTAATGTGCAAATTAAAAGTTATTGATCTTTTTTTTTTTTTTCTTTTATAATGGGCATTGCAGCTATATTTAGGTCACTGTTGTACGAGGCTTGTGGGCGAGTCGTGAACCCAGTTCTGGGCTCGGCAGGGCTGCTTTTTTCTGGAAACTGGAACCACTGCGAAGCAGCCGTTGACGCTGTCCTTAGGGGTTTACCCATAACACCCATAATGCAGACGCCTGTTTCCAATTCCAGCGCCCCTGTGACTCCTCAAAAATCGTACGACATTCGCCACGTGTCCAAGGATTCCGTCTCAGCTGAGATCTCCAAGGTGAAGACCAGTACCCCTTTCAAGCGATCCATTCCAAACCCCAAAAGTCTTGTTCCCTCAACTAGTAGAATTCATGCAGGCTCGGACAACAAAGAGGATGGGAGTCTTTTGTCTGCTATATCCATGGATGATCCCCTTCTCAACCAGAAGAAACCGCAACCCGGTGGTGTGAATTTTGATAGCCAGGCGGAAGCCGGCAAGGCTGTCTTAGATCTAACTCTTGCTTTAGCCCTACCCTCGCGCAGTGTTAATTAGTGATGAACGAATTTGGCGGCTATACAAAATACCTGAAATAATGTTCAAGTTTCAACTTGAAAAAGTTATTTTTTTTTTTCTGTTAAATTAGTGATTAAATGTAATAGTACATTGGGTAGGATTAAGGTGTTTAACTTTACAAGTAGTATGGACTATGGAGTATACAATATGCTATATTTTAGATTTCACCTATAAATATAGCGTTGTGTTTAATTCCCCCTCTAATTAATTTACATATTAAAGCTTAGTGTGACATATTTAGTATCAACCATAAGAAAAAAAAAATACTTGGTGTGGTATATAATAATAATAATAATAATAAGATTTCTGTGATATATATACTTTTACAAAGTTTAAAGATTAATTAGTATATTTAGTTTTATATATATATATTTTAAAATTATAGCATTTTAATAAATTTTTATTT